TGTATAAATAATAATAATTAAAAAAAATAGGATTTATTTAAGGAAAATTGATGTCCACTGCAAAGCAGTGACCAGAATTGGATGGCATATTCGAAGAGAGGCCTCCCACCGTCAAATATAATTGGACGATGATTGTGCATTTATTGCTGACGTTCAGAGTTGTAAACCCATGCATTCTAGTTCACTTTGTAGTGTGTGTTCATACACTGCTACCTTGAACATATAAATAAAAGCAAACAGCAGAAGACCTATTGGCTCAAGCAATACCCACACAGTTTGAGCCTTTCATATCCATCTATTTTATCCATAATTACATCATACTAATAAAAAAAAACTGATAATAATTGTTTAAATTGTCATATGACTGACCGCATAACCCTAGTAACATTCCTGACGATAACCACATTCATAACCATGAAATCATAGCAGGATTTCTTCTTTTTCCTCTTCGAAGAAAAAAGGATTTTCTTCCAAGGGGGCCTCGTAGCCTGGTGGATAGCGTGCAGGACTCGTAATTCTGTGGCGCGGGTTCGATTCCCGCACGAGGCAGAAACAAATGGGCAAAGTTTCTTTCACCCTAAATGCCCCTGTTACCTAGCAGTAAATAGGTACCTGGGAGTTAGTCAGCTGTCACGGGCTGCTTCCTGGGGGTGGAGGCCTGGTCGAGGACCGGGCCGCGGGGACACTAAAAAGCCCCGAAATCATCTCAAGATAACCTCAAGAAGAAGAAGGGTCGAGGTAAACTCTCATTACATCCACATAGACCTATTATATCCTTCTTTGCATCGAGACAATAATCTTTAATTGATAATGACGATATCTGCATTGCCTAGTGTATCAACACATGACGATGACTGTAGCCTAAGAGGTTATTCTTTGAACGGAGGTTTTTAATCTTTGAATGGAGGTTTTTTAATCTTTGAACAGGGGTTTTTAATCTTTGAACGGAGGTTTTTAATCTTTGAATGGAGGTTTTTTAATCTTTGAATGGAGGTTTTTTAATCTTTGAACAGAGATTTTTTAATCTTTGAATGGAGATTTTTAATCTTTGAACGGAGGTTTTTTTAATCTTTGAACGGAGGTTATTTAATCTTTGAACGGAGGTTTTTTATTCTTTGAACAGAGGTTTTTTAATCTTTGAATGGAGGTTTTTTTAATCTTTGAACGGAGGTTTTTTAATCTTTGAACGTATTCTTTATTTTTGAAGAGAAGTTTTTTTAATCTTTGAACGGAGGTTTTTAATCTTTGAACAGAGGTTTTTAATCTTTGAACAGAGGTTTTTCAATCTTTGAATGGAGGTTTTTAATCTTTGAACAGAGGTATTTAATCTTTGAACAGAGGTTTTTAATCTTTGAACAGAGGTTTTTAATCTTTGAACAGAGGTTTTTAATCTTTGAACAGAGGTTTTTAATCTTTGAACAGAGGTTTTTAATCTTTGAACAGAGGTTTTTAATCTTTGAACAGAGGTTTTTAATCTTTGAACAGAGGTTTTTAATCTTTGAACAGAGGTTTCTAATTCCTGGGATTGTCCTTATCATCCTTCTCTATACATGTTCAAGTGAATTCATGTCCATTCTAAAGTATGAAGACTAGAGCTGAACAACATTACCTAATGGGGCTCTAACAGGAGCAGGTTATCCTGCAATGATTTTGGGGCTCGACGTCCCTGTGGCCCGGTCTCTGACCAGGCCTGGTTGCTGGACTGGTCAACCAGGCTATCGAATGCGGCTGCTCGCAGGCTGACACATGAATCACAGCGACTTTCCTACACTCTTGACTTCACCCCATTGATGCCCAACTCTGCTTCCCATCCTTCAATTGGGCCCTTGTTCAATTGAAGAGCCTTCCCCCTCCCAATGTAATGGGTCTTCATGGAGTATAGTGTCAAAGGCTTAGCCATGATCAAAATTTAAAATTGCCATGAATATATTTGCTAAGTATATCGTATGATATATTTTGATATTTATATAAATAAATAAATAAAATAAATATGTTTATTCAGGAAAGGTACATACATACAAGTGATGTTACATTAATGGATCGATATATATATAGAGCTAGTACATACAATGCCTAAAGCCACTATTACGCAATGCGTTTCGGGCAGGAAAAACATTAATATCTAGAACTTAATACTATTTGAGCATAAAGAATAAAATGTGTTGAGAACAAATACAAATAAAGATAAAAAAAAAGGGGAAACATGACTGAAAAAGCAGCACTAATACAATAGGTTGACAAACAGTGTTGATTAAAAAAAAAAAAATAACAGATATGGGTTGACAATAGAGGGGTAAGGTAGGTTACAGGGAATTTATTAGGTAGTGTTTAGTTTTTTTCTTAAACTGGTTGAGAGAGGTACAGTCTTTAACATGGTTGGGAAGATCATTCCACATTCTGGGTCCCTTGATTTGTAGAGCATTTCTAGTTTGATTAAGTCGTACTCTTGGAATATCAAAACTGTATTTATTTCTGGTGTGGTGCTCATGGGTTCTGTTACAACCTTCAATGAAGCTTTTGAGGTCAGGATTGGCATTACAGTTCAGCGTTTTATATATGTATAATACACAAGAGAGAATGTGCAGTGACTTAATATCTAACATATTCAGAGATTTGAGTAGGGGTACCGAGTGATGTATGGGGCTGGAGTTGGATATTGTCCTAATAGCAGCTTTGTGTTGAGTAATTAGAGGACGTAAATGATTTTGGGTAGTAGAACCCCAAGCACAAATACCATAGTTGAGATATGGATAGATGAGGGAGTAATAGAGAGTAACCAGGGCAGGGTGGGTACATAATATCTGATCTTAGAAAGAATGCCAACAGTTTTTGAAACTTTTTTTGATATATTTAGAATGTGTCCCTGGAAATTCAGCTTGTGATCAATGAGAACGCCAAGGAATTTTCCATCTAATTTGTTACAAATTTGGGTATTGTTTATTTTGAGATTTATTTGATTAGAGGATTTATTGCCAAACAGAATATAGAAAGTTTTGTCAATGTTAAGGGTGAGTTTGTTGGCAGTTAGCCAAAGGTGGACTTTATTTAGCCCAGTATTTATATACGATATGATAAGAGATATACGATATGACTTTGTATGCTATATGATATACATAATATTGTACGATATTATGCAATGTATACAACCTGTCCTCTTACAAATTACATCTGAATTTGGCCATTTGCCAGTATGGCCAAAAATGAACGTAATTTGAAAATGAAAAAAATTTAAAATTAATTTTTTTTCCAAAACAGTAAGTTAAGGGTCCTCTGGTAGATTTGGAGGGCAGGAAATTCTCCTAAGGTTTAAAGTCATGAAAAACGTTAATTGAAAGTTTCCTCTCCTAACCTAACCAAGTAAGCCAGAGGACTCAAACAGAAAACGGGACAGTACATCATCACTTTCGTGAGCCAATTTCATTTAAAGTTACTACATCCATTTTTGGCCATAGCACGCATACGAGTGAAAATCGACATTTTTAAGAGGACGGGATGGATATACAGTACTAAGCTTTGTTAGTATTTGTGAAGGACTACAAAAAGTTAGTGGACAAATGTAAAATATTGGTGGTGGAGAAGGAATGAATGTAAAAAAAAAGGAATGAAAAAAATACAGTATATACAAAATTTGGTCAGTTTCAGTACCACCATTTTTCATAACTGGCAAATGAATCTGTGCATTAGTTAAGAATTAATTAAATCAAGGAAGGAACATAGTTTGTGCAATGAAAGCCCTGCTTAGGAAGTACAAGATAGGAAGAGATCCAGCTACAGTATTTATTTATTTATTTATTTATATACAGTACAAGAAGGTACAATGGGTTTATGAGAGTACATAGCATTGATGTTTTTACATTCTTGTAAAGCCACTAACACGCATAGCATTTTGGGCAGATAGCTAGATTTCTGCCTAACCTTACTTATGAATACAAGATGCAGCACGAAATAAGCATGCAAAATTATATAGTTAAAAGCTGCGAAGAGGAATAAAATGTGAAGCATTTGCAGTGTCACGACTAAGGTAAAGTTAGTTAATGAGGTGAAGTAGAAACTTGGATACAGGATACAGCTGCTATTATAAATTCATATGCAGTAACTTTGTACAAGTAGGGCAGCAAAATAAGCTTTATTGTATCCATGAAGTACAGGGTCCCATAGATTAGTATCCAAAGAATCACACTTATATCCAACACACAGTACGCTCACATTCAGATCACTTTCAAGACGCCAGTACTGTATAAAGTGCTGTTCGTTTTACAATATACTGGTAACTCTTTCCTAAATTACACCCATTTTTATTGCAGCAAATTGGCAGTTATCACAATAAGCAGCCATTACAAGTAACCTTGGCCTCACCTAACAAGACCAAACTGTACCGAACCAATTCAAGATATAACCCAACGTAGCCTAACTTAAGAAGTTCAGAAAAAGCTTGGTTAGCGGAAAAAGAGATGGACGTCTGGCTTCACCTTGATGGTGGGTGGACATTAGGCCATTGCACTCATGTGAGGCCCACCAGAATTTATTACGATTTTAGCCCCGTTGACGTACGACTTGGACACAAGGCACCAGCCCTTTGCAGCCCAGACGCCAGTCCCTCGAGCATTTTTGCCTGTGGTCACATTTAATAGGTCTATACAATCGGGTTGTTTAATCTTTAGATGGGGAGAGGGCACGGTGTTTGCCGAGGCTGTAAATACCAAAACACTACCGAATGGAGAACAAAAAACAGCTCAATAAAAATTATGGGGTGGGGGAACCTTTGACAAGCTGCAAGCTTCCTGTCTACATCGAGGCCACTAGATAAAGTGGCTCCCACAGGTAAATTCAGGTAAATGTCCAAATGACTTCCACCCCCCCACCCCCAAACACAAAAAAGTCTAACACGTCCACATAATACTTGCATTATCAGCCAGTCTAACTGTCAATTGAGAAATTGTCAAGCCAGTCTAACCTAAAAGTCTAATACAGCCAGGAAAAGTGTAGGAATACAGTCTTACCGTTTATTATGAGCCACATCTGAGGGCAGGAGCTGTGGCCTCCCCCAGGCAGCTCCTGACGGCAGTCAGATGTTATGAGCTTGCCTCTCTAGCCTCGTCTCCTGACGGCAGTCAGATGTTATGAGCCTGCCTCTCTAGCCTCGTCTCCTGACGGCAGTCAGCAGGTGTACTGGGCCTCCCACAGGCGGCTCCTGCTGTATATATCACACAACACCTGACGGCAATCACCAGGTAATATAGATTGTTAATTTGCGGGTCGACGACGAGTCTGGGATGGGATAGGTGTTGTGTAGGTCTGCCTCAGGCGGCTCCTGACGTATTTACTGGCCGGCAGTAATCTGAAGGTGTTATGGGCCCTCCTGCAGGCGGTTCCTGAAGTATATACCGGTATATACAGGTGGTGAGGGCCTCATCCAGGCAGCTGGGGTAGTGAGGATAATGAGGCGTTTCTCCGGAACAAACCCCTACCGTCCCTCAGGTCCTGAACACTACTAGTACTCACTCCTTCCCTCCCACTCTCTCTCTCACCGAATTCACATATATACATATCTATCTATACATTTATATATTTAAACGTCCTACGTAAGCCATATCTCTTTACGGCTATGAAATTGAATGGTGGAAATTATTCTGGAGTTTTGCGATAACTTATCGGTGGCACAGTTGAGTTCATTCTTCGACTCGTAATTGGGAATTTCTGGTTCGAATCCCGACTGGGACAGAAAGGGTTGGGCACGATTCCTATCACCTGATGCTCCTCTTCACCTGGATAGGTAATAGTGATCACCTGAATACTTATTCATTGCTGATTAATCAGTAATCACCTGAATAGGTAATTGTGAAAAGGTACCGGCGAATTAGGCAACTGTTGTGGGGTGCATCCTGTTTGGGGCGGAAGGGTCAGTAGTTCGACCGGATACAAGTGACAGATACAAGATCCAAGTTACAATTTTCATCAATCATTTATTTATTTATTTATTTATTTATTTATTTATTTATTTATGCATATACAAGAATGTACATAAGGAATGTGAGGATACAAATATGGTAATTACAGTCTTGTAAAGCCACTAGCACGCGCAGCGTTTCGGGCAGGTCCTTAATCTAAGAAAATTTTAAGGAGGTAAATACTTGCAAAATTTATAGACAAAAAAAAGATAACAGATTACATGAAATGAAAAAAAAAAAAAAAAAAAAAAAAAGAGGAGAGAAAATTGTAGGTACAGTATATTAAGGCACATAGGTAGCTAAGATTGATTGCAATGACAGCTTAAAATGGTAGTTGACAACAAATTGGTAGGCACAATACAGCAGAAACAATATAAGATTGATTGACAATGACAGCAATGACATCAAGACGATTCGCCAATGGATTTTGGAAACCTACCTAACTTAACCTTACTTTATTTATTTATTTATTTATTTATATACAAGAAGGTACATTGGGTTTGTGAGAATACATAGTATAGTATTTACATTCTTGTAAAGCCACTAGTACGCGCAGCGTTTCGGACAGGTCCTTAATCTAACAGATAATTTTAAGTAGGTAAATTCTAGCAGAATTAATAAAATGGTAACAGATACACTGCAAGAAAAAAATGAGATGAGAGAGATTAGTAAGTATATTAAAGCACATTGGTATATTAAAGCTCTGATTGATTACATTGGCAGCTTGATTGGTAATTTAAACAAGATTAATAGACACCGTACAGCAGATTGACAGCACATATAAGAAGACAGCAATGATCACAATGGTAAAGATGTTCGGATTGGGTACATAAAGATTGGGAGAATGGGTAGCAATAGATACAGTGCAACTTTCCTGACCTCAAAAGCTTCATAGAAGGTTGTAACAGAACCCATGAGCACGTACCACACCAGAAATAAATACAGTTTTGATATTCCTAGAGTACGACTTAATCAAACTAGAAATGCTCTTCAAATCAAGGGACCCAGAATGTGGAATGACCTTCCCAACCATGTTAAAGACTGTACCTCTCTCAACCAGTTTAAGATAAAAACGAAGCTATACCTAATAAATTCCCTGTAACCTACCTTACCCCTCTATTGTCAACCAATGTCTGTTTTTTTAAACAACGCTGTTTGTCGACCGAATTGTATTTGTGCTGCTTTTCAGCCATGTTCCCCCCCTTATCTCTTTTTTTATTTGTTATCAACACATTTTATTCCTTATGCTCAATTAGTATTAAGCTTTAGTCATTTAAGTTTTTCATGCCCGAAACGCTTTGCGTAATAGTGGCTTTAGGCATTGTATGTACTAGCCCTATCTATAAATTCATCACTCTTTGTAAAATCTGTTGTATGTATGTACCTTACCTAAATAAACATTTGATTTGATTTTGATTTTAAAGCAAAAGGTAAAAAACTATGAAGATGAAATTAGGTACTTTTTAGTATTGTATTTGAATGACGCAAAAGTTGGACAGCTTTTCAATTCAATAGGGAGTGAGTTCCATAGACTGGGTCCCTTTATTTGCATAGAGTGTTTACACAGATTAAGTTTGACTCTGGGGATATCAAAGAGATATTTATTTCTGGTGTGGTGATAATGGGTCCTATTACATCTGTCCAGGGAGAGTTTCAGAGCAGGATTTGCATTTAAGAACAGGGTTTTGTAAATGTAGTTGACACGAGAGAATTTGTGGTGTGAGCAAAACCTTAAATCATTCTCTTAATTGGTCATCCCTCCCTCAGTGTTATTACTCGTGTATTCCACCTTTTTTTGTCCCTAGGATATTTCTCATTCAGACAGATCATCATTTTGGTACCCTGGTACTTTGATTTGTCTTCGGGCCAAAGCACCCTATAAATAATAAATAAATATGTTTATTCAGGTAAGGTACATACATACAAGTGATGTTACATTAATGGATTGATATATAGATAGAGCTAGTACATACAATGCCTAAAGCCACTATTACGCAATGCGTTTCGGGCAAGAAAAACATTAATATCTAGAACTTAATACTAATTGAGCATAAGGAATAAAAAGTGTTGAAAACAAATTCAAATAAAGATAAAAAAAAGGGGAAACATGACTGAAAAAGCAGCACAAATACAATAGGTTGACAAACAGTGTTGATTAAAAAAAAAAAAAAAAAAAAAAAATAATAATAATAAAATAAAATAACAGACATGGGTTGACAATAAAGGAGTGAGGTGGGTTACAGGGAATTTATTAGGTATTGTTTAGTTTTTATCTTAAACTGGTTGAGAGAGGTACAGTCTTTAACATGGTTGGGAAGATCATTCCACATTCTGGGTCCCTTGATTTGTAGAGCATTTCTAGTTTGATTAAGTCGTACTCTAGGAATATGAAAACTGTATTTATTCCTGGTGTGGTGCTCATGGGTTCTGTTACAACCTTCAATGAAGCTTTTGAGGTCAGGATTGGCATTACAGTTCAGCGTTTTATATATGTATAATACACAAGAGAGAATGTGCAGTGACTTAATATCTAACATATTCAGAGATTTGAGTAAGGGTACCGAGTGATGTCTGGGGCCAGAGTTGGTTATTGTCCTAATAGCAGCTTTGTGTTGGGTAATGAGAGGACGTAAATGATTTTGGGTAGTAGAACCCCAAGCACAAATACCATAGTTGAGGTATGGATAGATGAGGGAGTAATAGAGAGTCACCAGGGCAGGGCGGGGTACATAATATCTGATCTTAGAAAGAATGCCAACAGTTTTTGAAACTTTTTTTGATATATTTAGAATGTGACCCTGGAAATTCAGCTTGTGGTCGATGAGAACGCCAAGGAATTTGCCATCTAAGCCATATTTATTTATTTATTTATTTAAGTGTGGGATGTAGGCAAGAGACGGAGGTTGAGAGGTGAAGGACATTTGGGAGGCAGTGCTAATCAGATATGAGAAAGGAAGGGAAGTGAGAGCACATGAAGGAACATGGGATAAAAGTGTATAAGGTTAGGGTAAGGCAGGTAGGGACAAGGCAAGTCATGTTGACGGTTTCCGTAGCCGGTCCATCTAATTACCACAAGCTACACAAGCTTCAGAAAGCTTCCTGGCAATACGTTAGTAATGAATAAATATGATATATTTACTCATTATAATGTTGGTGCTGAATGTACAACACGAAAAAATATAATTTTAATCTGAAAAATTATCTTTTTATAAAGAAATTAGACGAAAATAAAAAGCTGGTGACGCCAAATGAAGTCGACGATCCAAGCTTCGGTTAGGTTAAGTTAGGTTAGGTTTGGTTTGGTTTGGTTAAGTTAGGTTAGGTTAGGTTAGGTTAGGTTAAATTAGGCCAGCCTAACCTATCATATCATATTTATTTATTACTAACGTATTGCCAGGAAGCTTTCTGAAGCTTGTGTAGCTTGTGGTAGCTTGTGGTAATTAGACGGACCCGAGAGTGGGGTGAGGATGCGTCGCGGGAGTGCGTGGGGTATGTGGTTTGTCAGGCAAAGTGGCAGGGTGCTTGGAAGTAGGGACAGCTGAGAATTGCTTCTTCTTAGTACCGGGGGGTTAGGGTTTGCGGCAAGTCAGCCTGGGGACTGACTCGGGGAAGGCGTGCCAAGAGTTATTGAGGGCATTTTCCAGCATCAGTTCAAACGTTTTGGAGACAGCAACGGTAGCTGCTGGAGGTTTGATGTCAATCATAGTAGATGCGGAGGCATGCCTTTAGGTCAGCCTCAGGAATGGGTCGGACGGACTGTGTTAAGAATTTAGTCAGGAGTTGGTCCAGCGTCTTCTCGAGTGCATCCGCAAAGCGAGTGAGAAGTGTATAAACAAGATCAGGACTCAGGTGTACGGTGTGTGGGAGAGAATTAGACTCTGGGGTTGCAGGAACGTCAGTGACAGACAGATCAAGAACAAGTAAAAGTGGCAGTGGTGTAGGAAGCAGTGGTTGATGACAGACCGAGTTAGAATGTTGCAGAGCATGACTGTAAAGTAGGTTGATGGCAGGGAGAGCCTTAGTTTGTGCTGCTATGTATGAAGGACATTGTTTGAATGTAATGTCATGATCACCACCACAGTTGGAGCAGTAGAGTATATCTGATGCACAGTCACATGTGTAATGGGAACCAGAGCATTTCCCACATTTGAAGTTGGTGCAGCCTTTCGAGGTATGGTGAAAACCTTTACATCAAAAGCACCGAGTGGGACATGGAACATACACCTCTAGTTTAAGGAGCAAGCCGTTTATCCAAACCCAATAAGAGGAAAAAGGAGTCAAGAAAAGTTTATATTAAAGGCGCTTTGATATAAAGAACTTGGGAGTAGCATGATATAGGAGACTTTGTGCCTGCTATTTCCCAAAACACTCCGTTCAATGGGCATATCGTCATCAAAGGCACACTATCTTCTGCAATCCGACCAAAGGAGGATACAAAGGGCCATAGTTCCTCTAGCACGGACTAAGTTGCTGAGTTGGGACCTCAACAGCAGTTCTCGTCACCAGTTGACACTCGCACCCCTACACGTCGGTCAGAGATGATGATATTTGATTAGGTAGGGGAAGTAGCTTTCTTTTTTCAGAGCACAAGGAACGCTAATTCTGTAAGTATCATATAATTAAGTAGGAAACCTGTTACGACCCTGGGTTCCTCAGTGGAAACCAGAGGTCAAAATTGAGCTAAATAAACTACCTTTTAGTAGGGGGATGCATGGCGAGGTGCATTTGTTTGTATCTTCCCTGCCAGATGTAAGACTATTCTTGTTTCTCAAAGAGCATTTAAA